CATCAAACTCCATATAATCGGACGTTGTCTTCAATTCATTAGCCTTCCCCAAATTTAATGGCCGGAGGTCCTTCACTAATGGATTCCTTGTTCCAACGATCCTTGGAGGATTTAATCAAAGGCCTCCGTCTCCACAACCTCGCTGCCGGCACCGCTGCCGGAACACCCGAATCCTCCACTTTTCTCTCGAAATCCATCGATGAGGTTCGCCGCGAGATCAAATCAACAGACCAACAAACCAAAACCACCGCGCTTCAAAAGCTTACCTATCTTCACTCCCTCTATGCCATCGACATGTCCTGGGCCGCTTTCCATGCAATCGAGCTCTCCTCCTCCACCATCTTCAATTCAAAACGGACCGGTTATCTTGCCGCCTCGATTTCCTTCAACTCCTCCACGGATGTCATACTCCTCCTCACCCATCAGCTCCGGAAAGACCTCAATTCGGGCAACCCCCATGAGGTAAGCCTCGCTCTTCAGACGCTTTCTTCGATTTGTACTCCCGATTTAGCACGCGATTTGACGCCCGAATTGTTTACTTTATTGAATAGCAATAAGGGGTTTATTAAGAAGAAAGCTATTGCTACTGTTTTGAGGGTTTTTGAATTGTACCCAGATTCCGTGAGGGTGTGTTTTAAGCGATTAGTCGAGAATTTAGAGAATGCTGATGTGGGTATTGTTTCCGCCATCGTTGGAGTGTTTTGTGAGCTAGCTAATAAAGAACCTAGATCGTATTTGCCTCTAGCCCCCGAGTTTTATAGGATTTTGGTGGATTCTAGGAACAATTGGGTTTTGATTAAGGTTTTGAAGATCTTTGCCAAGTTGGTGCCTTTAGAGCCAAGGTTGGGGAAAAGAGTTGTGGAGCCGATTTGTGAGCATTTGAGGCGTACTGGGGCAAAATCGTTGGCTTTTGAGTGTATTAGGACGATTGTGTGTAGTTTAACTCAGCATGAGTTAGCCGTGAAGCTTGCAGCTGAGAAGATTAGGGAGTTTTTGACTGAAGACGATCCGAATCTTAAGTATCTTGGATTGCAAGCGCTTGCTGCTATTGCACCTAAGTCCTTGAATGCTGTTGTGGAGAATAAGGAGGTTGTGATTAAGTCCTTGAGTGATGAGGATGTCAATATTAAATTTGAGGCCCTAAGGCTTGTAATGGCTATGGTTTCAGAGGACAATGTAGCAGAAATTTGTAGAGTTTTGATTAATTATGCACTCAAATCTGACCCAGAATTTTGTAATGAGATCCTAGGGTCTATCTTGTCAACTTGTTCGAGAAATTATTATGAGACAATTGTTGATTTTGACTGGTATGTTTCACTTCTTGGGGAAATGGCGAGGGTTCCACATTGCCAGAAGGGAGAGGAAATTGAGAACCAGCTTGTAGACATTGGCATGAGAGTTAGGGATGTTAGACCGGAGGTTGTTCATGTTGGGCGTGATTTATTGATTGATCCTGCGTTGCTTGGAAATCCTTTCATCCACAGAATTTTATCTGCGGCTGCTTGGGTTTCTGGGGAGTATGTTGAATTCTGCAAAAATCCATTTGAGCTCATGGAAGCATTATTGCAACCAAGAACCAATCTTTTGCCACCTTCAGTGAGGGCTGTGTATATCCAGTCTGCATTTAAGGTATTGACATTCGCTGCGTATTTTTATTTCTATCCAGAAGAAGCTCTTGCTGCATCTATCTCAGGAGTGGGAGAGTCTGTACACAATGGTTGGTGTGAACAAAGTTCTGATTCTGTAAGTGGTCAAACTGTTACTTTTAGTGAACCAGATGAGGGGTTTAATCCAAGAATGCTGCATCAACCGCAAAAAGATGCTTCTGGAAATGATGGGAAGAAAATGATTAGCGATCTTGAGCAGGTGTCTTCCTGTTCTGTGAAGATGGGTCATTTCACCAAAGATTGTTTGGTTGGGATGGTAAATCTTGTTGAATCAACACTGAGACCAATGGCAGGTAGTCATGAAGTGGAGATACAGGATAGGGTGAAGAATGTCCTTGGTTTGATTGAGTTGATTCGACAAGAAATACATGGTTGCTTGGTCCCAAAGGAAGAAGAAAATGATAGGGGAGAACTGAAAGCCTGTGAAATTGTCAGAGTGATGCACGATGCCTTCTCTGAAGAGCTTGGGCCAGTTTCGTTGAGTGCTCAAGGCAGGGTGCCTCTTCCTGATGGTTTGGAGCTTAAGGAGAATCTCAGCGACTTAGAAGCAATATGTGGTGATTTTAGAATACCTGTTTTGAGTTCATTTTCCCTTGAAAAACCTCGATCCCTGGAAAAGGATGTGGTTACGGTTTCTGACCAACAAAATGAGGAAGAGTGCGAACCGTCAAGTGAGTCAACATCTCTACTCACGGAGCATCGCAAACGGCATGGGATATATTATCTTCCTTCAGAGAAAAAGGAAAAAGTTCCAAATGATTATCCACCTGCTAATGACCTCAGTATGCAAGATAAAGTAAATGATGAGGTAGATTATCTGGTTAAACTTACAGAGAAATCACTTGTCCCTAAGAAAAAGCCAATAGCAAAACCTAGGCCTGTGGTTGTAAAATTGGATGATGGAGATAGAATACACATCAATGAGACGCTACCTGAGCTGAAAGAGGATTTAATCTCTGATGCTGTGCAAGAGGTACTTCTAGGCAGTCAAGCTGTGGCATCATCGTCACGGACTGACAAGTCTGACAAATCATCAAATAGGCGAAGTAGGAAGGAGACCTTTAGGCCTTTGGAATCAAATGCTGATTCAACAACTGTGGAGATTGCTGAGCTTGGAAACAAGAATTCTAGAAGGATCAAACACCGTACTCATGGTAAAGAGAGAAGCCATAGAAGTTCAAAAAAGGCAACTGGTGAATCTGATCGATCAGATAGGCCTAATAGTAGTCATCCCCATGGCAAGCACAAGTCACGGCAAAGAGCAGATGGAATGGAGAATGTGGCAGCAGAGTCTCCGGTGATTCCTGATTTTCTTCTATAGCATTAGAGGACTGGGGTATTTTCTCTCACCCAGAGATTGACTATCCTTGTATTAAACTTCTTTTTGTCTGAGGTCAGTTTTCTTGTAAATTGTATAGAAATTTTTTCCCTAAAAGAAATTGTGGTTTGTTTCAAAATTTTCATTTCCTTTGTTGATTTTTTGTGTACGATAGAATTCATTCAATACAGAATGATTTTGGTTTGAGCATTTCTTGATCTTGCTGCTTGTCAGATGAAATGTGTCAAGGATTGATGGTTTTCTTGTTTTTATTTGTATATGCTCCTGTTCAAAGCCTCAGTTGATATTTATTTGCTTGCGGAATCCTAGTGAAATAACTAATACTTTTGTCACCCTAAAACTGGGAAAGGAATCCTATTGAATAACTAGTACTTTGTCACTCTCAAACTGGAAAAGGTACAGCTTTTAATCTTTGCGTCTTTTACCAGTTGGTGAGTGAATGCTTTTGAGTGGTTAGGAACCACTCAAAATTGCTGTCTGATACCAAAATTGCTGGTCAGGGTACAGAAGGGGCAATTGGTATATTCTTTTCGAGCAACAATCAAACTCTTTTAATTAAAGACTAGATCGGAAGATTGTACAAGAGGTAGAAACCTCAGTTACATCAGAAGTACTCTATTCTATTACACAAGACAATTAAATAATGTCCCCATTCTAATACTAAGTACCAATTTTCCTTCATGCGAGGATGGCCAGCCTGGTAGGCAGTAACCGAGGAGGTCCGGAACTAGTGGCTAAGGTTAAGACTCTAAGAATTAGAGGTCATAAATTCAAAATTTTTGTACCCCTCTCCTCTTCTTAAATCCCCTCTTACCCTCCTCGTCTGGGGGAAAAAAATAACCGAACAGTTTCAAATATGATTAATAGAAGAACTTCGTTTTAAGCAAGCTATTATGGTTAATTTACACAATTAGTCTCCCAAATGGGATTTACTGGATGAGGTTCACCTCAGATTATTTCTTTCTTCATCCATTTTTAGCTGGCAAGCAATTACGTCACCTAAAAAAGACTCAAAATACAACCACATGCTATATTTGTGTTGGTTGCTAATAGCTATTTTTGAAGACTTTTTTCAGAACCTTCGTATAATCTGCTAGTGCGTGATCCAGCGAACTGTTTTGTTTTTTAAGTTAGTCCAGTTTGCAAGCCCTGGCTTAGGCATAAAACAAAGCACCATATAGTCCTCTCTAACGTTTTCTCTTGTTCTTGGACACATGACTTCATCAGTAGAATATGAAATAGGTAGAGGAAACAAATGTCGAGGTCTACAGAAACTTTTCGGAATTGGAAAGATGGTGCAACTTGCCGGGGCATTGAATGTACTCGTTTAGTTTTCTTGGTCTACTCTATATATCGAGGTCTACTCAAAGAATCAAACTAGGTATTAATACTAGGTAAGAGGTAACTTGTCGAAGCATCATACCATTGTGAATTTGGCTCACAATGTAAAAGGGTTTCGATCTTGTATTCTGCCAGTGACCATTAACGTGCTTAAGCAAGCCAACCAAAGTTGACCCGATGCTTGAGGGGTGACCGGGAGGTGCTTATCGCCCGGTATCTGAGGATTCTTGGACATATCGTTTCATCTTACCTTGCGGTTGAAGTGATGTTACAAGTTGGCCAATGAGTCCGTCCCTTAATAATGGGGCAGAGCTACTGCTTCATATTCATTGTATGCTAAAGCTCTCTTCTTCATCTCTCTGATGAATGGAAGAGCAACGTCAATTCATGGCTAAGCTTTATATTGCACGATTAGTGCAGTTGCATCATGCATTTGGTGTTCTGTATTTTGTCATTGGCTTGTCTTTGGGAGTCACCGGTGGTATGTATCTTGAGAGATTTCTTTCACTAGAGAACATTAACTCAATTCCCAATCTTACATCGTTCCAACAGGCATCAACCCTGATAGAATTACCATTCAAACAGCCAAGAACATCACCACTGCCTCCACCATCCCCGCACGAAGGCGGTATTCCCCCGCCTGCTATTAGTAGTTTCGTGCCGGAGGATCAGTTGCAATTTCTTAGGCACAAAATGGACGACAGTGAACTGTTTTGGCGTGCATCTATGGTGCCTATGGTTGAGGAGTTTGCTTACGAGTATGCTCCGAAGGTTGCTTTCATGTTCTTGGCCAAAGGGCCGATACCATTGGCTCCCTTGTGGGAGAGGTTTTTTCATGGACACAATGGATCATACTCTATTTATGTTCATTCAGACCCCTCTTACATTGGAGAAGAGCCTGAAGATTCTGTTTTCCATCGAAGAAGAGTTCCTAGCAAGGTTCGTAACGCTTTGATACGTTAGACTGCATTTTAGCCTTCGAGAATTAAAAGGTTGGTTTGAATAGTGAATTCTTTCTCAATACAATATATTTTCCTAATTTTTTTCAAAATGCCCAAGCATTAGGATCAAATCAAATGGCTCTTTTCTCAAAGACTTTTACCTCCAACTTTCGTTTGTGTTCCATTCGTCAACTTCATAAATTCCAAGTTATTACACAACACAGTTACACGGAGCTGGGTTCTGTGCTGCTCTGATGAAGTTGCTACTTTTTTTACCGCAGAAAACTGGGGAAGCATGAGCAGAAGGTATACAGGTTAATTGCACAATGCCCCATTGAACTACCACTCCTTTGCAATTTCGTGCCCTGTACATTACAATGAACCCAAAAATGTTATGCAAAATATCCTCACAAATGTACAACAACTTGCAATTAATTTTATTAGGGAGGGAGCTGTAATGATGCTTTGAACAACTTGCAATTAATTTCAATGAGATGTAGTATGATAAATCATATTGTTATAAAAAGAATATTTTTTTTAATTGCAGGGAGGGAGATAGGTAGAATTTAAAAAATTAAGACAGACGTGAGATTAACATCTAGAACTTCTAATTATTAAGGGGCTGCAAAAAGAACATTTAATAACTGATTTTCTTCCTTTCTCTTGAATGAATAACAAGATTGAGGTAAATTCCATTTGACTCTGCCTTAAGAAACTAAAATCAACCGTGCAAGTGACAGAGTACTCATTTTGCATTTGACCGCAGCCGGTGCAATGGGGAACAGCATCAATGATAGATGCTGAGCGACGACTTCTAGCCAATGCACTGCTTGACTTCACGAATGAAAGATTTGTGCTGCTATCAGAAACGTGCATTCCTTTGTTCAACTTCACAACAATTTACAACTACCTAATAAGGTCAAATCACAGTTTCATTGGCTCAGCTGACGATCCAAGAAAAAGTGGTCGTGGCAGATATAATAAAGCAATGTCGCCTGCAATATCAATATCTCAATGGCGAAAAGGGTCCCAGTGGTTTGAGGTCAACCGCAAGGTTGCCATAAGAATTATATCAGACAGAAAATATTACCCCATTTTTGCTGAGCATTGCAGCCCTCCATGCTATAATGATGAGCACTACATTCCCACGCTTGTGAATATTCTATTGCCAGAAGAGAACTCGAACAGGAGCGTGACTTGGGTAGATTGGTCCAGAGAAGGTCCTCATCCGGGAAGATTTGACTGGAGAAATGTCAATGCAGAGTTTATGAATCAGGTAAGGTTTGGTACTACGAACTGTACTTACAATGGTAAGAACTCTTCCTCATGTTTTTTGTTTGCTAGAAAATTTGTTCCCAATTCTCTTAAACGTTTGCTAGAGCTTTCTCCGTTGTTGTTTGGCTGAAACTCTTTGAAATACGGCATATTTCAATCTAATCACAGGTTACATTTCATTTCTACGAGCGATTTCTGATCTCTGTCTTTTGCTGATTTCTCATAACGTGCCTACACTTTCAAAATCTATAACAAGGAAAGAACAGAAGAATTAATGCTTAGTTACTCGTGCTAATCACGTAATTGTTAATGTAATTTATATTTAATCTCTTTTTGGTTCATCGATGTATCAAAAAATCAATACCTGAGTTCATAAACTATTTCAATCATGTAAATACGGGTTTCAACTTGCGATAATCATCAAGATTACCAGTCATTTGGATTGTTGTGTAATTATACCCCCCCCCCCAAAACAACAAAAAAAACCATAGTTATTAAACCCAACCCGGGAAGGAACCCGGCGAAGGAGGTGGGTCAACGGGTTACTGGTTGAACCGGTGGGTGAGTGGTTGAACCGGTGGGTCACTACATATATTTAAATATTATATTTCATAATTATTTATATAAGATATATGATATAAATTGTAATAAATAATGTCATAACAAAAGCTCATTTAATTTAATTTGTTATAAAATAATTAATTCATATAAGAATCAATCAAATATAAAGTTATTTATTAATATACCAAACTTCAAGTGTAAAATTTTATCTATATTTAGTGTAATTATCTAGCTTATTTATGAATTTTAAGTGTAAAAAATTTATTAAAAATAATATTTGTCTTTAAATGAATTATGTAATATGTTATTTTTGGAATCCATTTTATAACTTATAGAGTTTGGAGGGTAATAAATTTTTATTAAAAGATTCCAAATAAATTTGTTTTAGAGAAAAAAAGATAGAATTGAAAAACATTTATATATCTTACTAAAACTACTATATCAACATATTTAGAAGTAGTTTGGTGGTAAGCAAGTGGTAGTGCGGGGGCAGAGGTCGGAAATTCGATTTCCAACAATAGCAGTATAATTTTTCCACAAAATCCGGTTAGTGACAAAACTGGCCAAAACCGGCCGGGTTTCCGGTTTAACCCGGTTCGACCGCCGGGTCGTTGACTAAGTCAACGGTCTCTTTGCACAAACGATCTGATTCCAAACCCGGTCCGGTCCAATGACCGGTCCACTGATTTGACCGGTTCGACTGCCGGGCCGGGCCGGGTTTAATAACTATGAAAAAAACACATTTCTAATGTATAATCATCAGTATTATATATATATAAATATATAAACATCGGTACTAGGTTGACAAAAATATAATTTACGAGTGATTTAATATATTAATTTTCTAATAAAGTCTAATAAATCATCGGTACTAGGTTGACAAAAATATATATTAATTTTTTAATGTATAATCATCAGTATTTTATCATAAAGTGTCATGCATTTTGAACTTATTAGGGAGTAAGTAGAGTCCGCATAATCAAATGACGGACCAGATTAGATACATTTCGGCTTGAGAATTGCGTATTATATATGGCTTGAAAAGTGATGAAGGTCACAGTCCTTGTAGCCATGTTCTGAGGATGGCACATTAAAGACTGGTGCATATCTGGGACTGGTGTTCTTTGTTTTTGGAACGACTAGCTAGACTTCATGTGATCAAAGACGTAAAAAAACTAGACGGAGAAGACGTCAACTTTTGTAGCCTCCGATAAAGGAAAGCTGGTAATCGATCTATGGCGTGGTTTAGCCGGCGTTGAACACATGATGGATTTTTGGACAATGACGGGATAATCTCCTTAATTACTTGGGTTGCTACCTGTCAAGAGATCGCGCGACGCGCGGTGACAAGCAGTAACAAAAAAGGTCCATATCCAGCATCTTGTCAGCAACTAATTTTCTAATTACGCTGATGGGCTAAGCCAAAAGGCTTTTGTCATTCTTGTAGTATTTTTTTTATATATATATAAAAAACATCATCATTCATCAAATCTACATTAATAGCAAAAATTATATATAAACAGATCTGAAGAACATAAATCTCACTAGTTATCAGACTATTACACTGTGAAAACAAGTTCATATATTAATGTGAGATCCAACGAGATAGTTCTAAAAAAATTCTAATTTCATAACCAAATCTGAGAAAACTTAGATTAATAAAGAAATGTAAAAATTAACAAAACTCTCCGTTAGAATTTCGAAAAGAAGAGAAAACTCTCACCAGAAATTCTTAGAAAAAGGAGAAAACTCTCATTATGAATCTCTAGGGGAAAGAAAACTCTCACTAGGATCCTAGGAGACTTTATTTCAAAAAAAAAAAAAAAAGGAGACCAATTCCATGGGAGACCAATTCCATGAGAAAAAGACGTTTTGTCTGCAAGATTAGAAAAAAGGTTAGAGAAGAGGAGAAACATAATTTTCTTCTAGGACATCTAAGTCTGGGCTAACCAAGAAGGGAAAATGTTGTTTTTGTAACCCAATAATTTTTCAGAATAAATTACAAGATAAAATACTTCAGTTAAACTTTTACAGATAATTATATATTAAGTCTATCTCTTATCATGTGCTCTTCGGACAAACAATAGAAGAATTCATACATTCTTTTTAACCAATGTGGATGAGTATCACAATTTTGGATTATTCGAATGCATAATTTCTTCTTTTCTAGAATTGGATAGACATAACATGTGAGTATGAGAAGGGGCTGTGGCTGATGACAATGATTCCTCATATCAAAAGTTTTCTTCTGGTTCAAATGTAAGCCATTTAAACGTAAACCTTATAGCAGCCTGCGTGGAAAAGCAAGAGGAAATGAGAGAAAAGAAAGCAACCCATGCAGCTTCTTTTGAATTGCAGACAATGTTGAATATTAGTCGCTGGCAAATCACATGTATTTGAGAAAAGTTGAAAGGGATTTCCTTCCCATCAAAAGTGGAAATCAGAAATTGAACGCCCAGATGCCATTTTCGCAAGAACTAGTCATGACCACGTTAAGAAAACCTTTATACTCTCATATCTAAATGCTTTGGTACGTACTGCCCTTGCCGTGTTCATTGGTTAAGGTATGTAGCCGAGACATGCAGCAACCAATAATTTTTAAGCACAAGGACATTTGCCTATTTAAGATATATATATAGTGTGTGTGTGTGTGTGAAAAAAAGATAACAAAGTAGAAAATGCTCATAGGCCATGAAGTTGCATTTTGAGTGATTGTTTTTCTTCCCTTCTCCCAAGTCTATACCCACTAGTCTAATTGCTATTTTCCAGTGGTTGCTGTTTTACAAATGACTGCCACCACTCAATAAAAACTTTAAAGAGTAGACGGCCAGATAGGAAAATTTGATTTAATCTAGTTCTTGCAGACTGTTTTATTGGTTTTCTAGAGATCGAGTTAACTATAAGGTGTAACAGATCCACAAAATTTTTTTTAATGCATTAGATAGTTGAGGCTAAAATTGCGGACAAACTTTACTAGGAAAATTGAAGAGAAAGATGAGGTATATTGACCTTTGAACTCCCCAAGTTCAGGAGCTTGTATAGTGGCTTAGACATTTGCATTCCACTTGGAATGTTACATTCATCTCGCTTTCATGACAAGACATCAATTCGCTCGCTCTCTCCACACAGACAAAAAGCGCACACACTTATACACAGGCAAAAACACGCTCACGAGCGACCCCCAGCTTCTTGTTCCTTCTGTCTTGTTCCAAGAGGCACGGCCAATTGCATTTTTCAGATTACTTGATTTGGAGAAATAGGTACTTTTTTGAGTTATTCATTTGCAATTGGAAAGGCCTTTCCATTTAAAGAACAGGCGGCTTATTGCAACAGGTAAAATTATCAAGTCAAAAGGCAGTTAGATTCCTTTTTTTCTTTCTTTCTTTTTTTCATCACAGCAAAGATTGATCGTCTTGATTGTTCTAGGGTATCTCAAGAATTGCGTGATAATACTCGCCTTTGACCGTTTGAGAAGCATGTTGGAATAAGACAAGAAGGAAGAGATTAACCTTTTTATCCGCCTAGCTAAAAAAAGTGGCTTATCTCCAATTAATTTTACATGTCTGTCAAGGTGATTTACAACTTTTACATACATACATACATGATCTTCTTTTTATCTACTCTATAGCCCGTGAAGTTCTTTGACCACAGTTCCAGCACCACCCTCAAGAGAAGAGGTTAAACTCATTGTACCCAACTTCAACAATCTAGCTTCTTTTCCTCCCCATCTCTCGCTCTCTGCATGTGTTAGTGCGTGTGTGTGTGTGTGACGCCCAAAACAAAGCTGTTCCACATCCCTGTAAAAAGGCACTACGTACTCTATAGCAATAGTATATGCCTTTCGTCAGGGGCAAACAACTTAGGTTGGTTTGATGCGCGAATTTATTGATAAACTATGTGGTGTATTCAATAGCCACATAGTTGTATGATGATATGACAGAAATGAAAATCAGCAGGAAGGAAATGTCAAGTAACTATTGAATACATCACGTTTCACAAGTAGACCCGTATATAGATCGGGTCTACTAGGCATATATATATATATATGTTCTTCAACATATATCTTTCAACAGAACAGAGAAAACCTCTATTGTAAACCTCCCTTTAGTCCTCACAATTATTCTCTCCCATCGAACACGGCAGAAATAAGACACACCCGAGAAGATGAAACAGGGTCATCAGCAACAACAGCAGCAGCAGCAACAACAATTGCAAATATCAAATTTGTTCAGCTTCCAAAGATATCTCCATAACCTTGTACTCTATTTTATGTTCTTTGGCACTGGATTAGTTATTGGAGTAAGTCTAAGTTTTTATCTAGCCGAGAATCCCTTCAACTTGCAATTCAAGTTATTCTCTACCAGCCAATCAACTCTACCACTGCCACCACCTCCGCCACCTTCGCCATCCCCTCCACCTCCTCCGCCACCTGTATTATGTCCTGCACCTGCACCGGTACCCGGTTCCTATCCGCCGCCGATAGTGTTTCCACCACCACAACCTCCAAGATTGATCACACTAAAAGATTTCACGACCCCAAAAAATTTGACGCACCAGATGACCGATGAGCAGTTGCTTTGGAGGGCTTCAATGGTGCCCCGGATCAATGAATATCCATTCAA